CCTATCTCCAGGTCCTTAAGGCATTTTTGTTGTGTGGGGCGGAAAGGTAAGACTGAGCACATTGTTGCATTGGCTTTTCGGCTTCCTGAGTCCTGTTGGCTTCCGTGAATTTCAGGACCCCTCCTAGCTTGACTCTTTTGGTTCAGTTAGATTTGACTGTCTTCAGAGAAATCCACATGGAGCCAGCCAACGGGAGTTTGTAGCGCCTACTTTACACACACACACACCCAGCGCGTGAGGGTCTTGATTGCCGCAAGTGGGAGAGAAAAGGTATTGGCCAGTTTCTGTTGTTTCAACAAGGATTCTAGGCTTCCCCCATTCTGTCCAGGGATCCTTTCCAGAAAACCCCAAGTCATGGAACCGGCTCCGGTTTTCGAAAACGGCGGTTGAAAATGGAGGAGTCAACCCCTGGATTGGCAGTTGCTCCCTTACGAGGCTTTCGAGGGTCTGTCGGTCCTCCAGCTCTCCCAAAGCTCCAAGTCAAGCGGCCCCCCTTGGGGCCCGGCATGCGGGACCTTTTGGGGCCGGGCTCAGGGCGCAGTTCAGAGATGGATTTGGGGTTTGGAAGCGAAAGGAACCTCGTTTTTGGCGAAAGGACCTTGATTGGGCCTGATTTTGAGGGCATATCCCGTTCTGAGAGCATCCCCATCCCAATCGCAGTTGGAACATGTTGGTGAAACGGTTGAAGAAGCAACATAAATACAGGTAAACCACCCAGTTTGAGACAAACCTGACAAGCGCGTACATTTTCTGTAAGAACAAGAGCATATGTTGGGGTCTATATGGGTCTGTCTCAAAATTGCACAACCAAGAAGAACTCACCTGGATGGGTCCCTCCAATTTGTGGGACACCCACATTTTAGTTGTACTCTCCCCATTCTGCTCAGGGATCCTTGTCAGAGAATGGGCAGTGGACATGAAGAGATTGATCGGTGAAGGGAATGAGTTCCCCTAGATCACAGAGAAAGGCGAGCCAACCATTTTCCCACTTGGGGGTTGCTGTACAACCAGATCACCCGCAATTGGTGCAGCAGAACATGGATTGGTGGGGGGGGGTGTTTGGCGATGCACCGAAATGAGTGTCTTTGGAGAGTTCTCCTCGGTGTGTTTCTACGACCAATCAAACGGACCACCAGTTTTGGGGGGGCTTTTTGAAGGCCGATGGAATCAGGCCGACGTTGCTTGGAATCCCACGAAGGCAGTGCGGAGCCTTTCCTTCCGTGCCCTGCAGAGCGCGGCGGACCGTGTGGCGGGCACCTTCCAGGACGGTGGAGCTCCAAATCAGGAATGGATCAGTCGGGATCAAAATCCCCACAGTGGTACAAGGGAATCCCAACTCTTTATGCGGGTAGTTGAGTTTCCTTTCAGACCACCAACAAATGGGTACCCCCTAAACAGACAAGCCCATGTCTTCTGATATCTCTTTGGCTTTCTTTTGGGTTTCCGTGCCCAGTTGTGGATTCCACCCCATTTTTGACCTGTTGTTTGGTGTTACACGTGTGGGTTTGACCCAGCCTTCAGCAAATGGTTGAAACCCAACTGCCATGTCACGGCAGAATCGATTCGTGTGATGGAAGCTGACTGGTTTTTGGACAACTCTTTTGAGGAAGTCCTTTGTCCACTTCCATCATTTCACCCCCCCCCAAGACCCTCAAAGTCACCTCAAACAAGAATGGGGGGGATGTTGCAACCACATTTCTTGGAGCTCCCTCCAACCCGCCAATCAAAATGGGGGGGGGGGTATGTTGCCACCCCATGTTGCTGTGGCTCAAAAAGATGCCCCACAAAGGCATTGTGGGAAAAATGGAGCCCAAGACCAAAAGTTGCGTAACCCTGGCTCTTTGGTTCTGAGCCACACCCATGTTGCCACATCCATGCCACCCTCCGTGGGGGGTGGGGGGGGGGCCGCACATAGATGTCCTTTTTGGTTGTTTTGCTAGAAAATAGATGACCCCGGTTTACCTGGTGCTTGAACCATCTACCAGGGACACCCCTCGATTTCCCCGGGAAAAGGACACCTCTGGGCCCCCGTTTACGTTGTGATCCGAGGACCGGCCCCACGAGCCCTTGCACGAGGAGCCCAGCGCGCCGCCTCTGGACTCCTTCGTCCGGGGCCCCTGGCCCGGGCTTCGCTCGACTCGAAGCGAGTTTTCTGTCAGCTTCCAGATGGACCAAGCATGGCATGGCGCGCGAAATGAAACCATGGCATGGTGGTTGTTGGGACACATGTTGCATTTTTGAAAATTGTGGTTTGGTGGTTGAAATCCCCACTTAACTGCTAAAAATCAAATTGTTGCTCCCCTTGCAACGTCAACCAAGATGGTTGACACCATGCCGTTTGTTGGTATTTACAGGGGAATCGAATCAGAAACCAGGGTTTCTTAGGTCGAAGCCCAGGTCCAGCTAGGTGTCCACTTTTACTGTTGGGGGGAGGGTTCCCCTACTAAAATAGACGACAGAAGAAAATGAGTTGGTACCCTTATTCTAAGCTCTCTGCTGGAGGACCTAGTCAGCTTCCATAGCAAGGTGCGATGAGTTGGTTTTCATGGGGAACCAGCAAAGCCCATAGGTGACGATTCTCTGAGGGGAAATGGGTAAGGGATGATCAACTTCCTATGCTATGAATAATCTAAGAGCTGAAACCACCTTACGAGTGGTTGGTGGACAATCCACTGCGAATTCTGATGTCCGCCAAAGGGTGACCCAGAACAATCACACGTACGAATGAGCAATGACCAAAACTTTCGAGTGCAGGTTTCAGAGTTGTAATTGTCGACCTGTGAGTAAGCAAAGCCTGCGCGTAAGGTGGCCAAAGAAGTCAACACCTCCACGGCGTGTCGCGCCAAAACATGCATTTCGTAAGGTACGCGTAAGCCTTACATGTTTGGGACATGGCTCAAATCGGCCATATGGTTTCAATTTTTCCAGACCCCTAACACCCGCACCAAGATTGCACCAGGTTTTTCGGGGGGGGGGTGAGGGTTTACCTACCCTCAGCACTGAGAGGCGATACTGGAGCTGCAGGGTTTGAACATTGCGTGCATTGTTGTGTGTGTGTTTGTGTTTGTGTGCGCGAGTGTTTTTTTGAGGGGCAAAGGGAAAGTCACATGTTTGGGGGGTACAGGTATTTTGTCACATACCCGTATTGGCCTGGGTTTTCTTTCTTCAACATTGTTATACATTTCACCGAAGATTAACTATCCCTGGATGACAATCGTAGTCTAAACATGTTCTTTGTTAGTTGGGTCAAAAGCGGAGGAAGTTTGCCTAGTGGACAATGCCCACAGGGCTGCCCTTTTGGAGATGATCATGTTTGGGAAACTACAACCAGATCACCCATGAATATCCCTTCAAGATTCCTTATGTCCAATTGGGGCACAGCAATTGGCCCCAAAACGTCGGTGAAGTTTCCTACTCGAGGACTGGCGGGGAGAGGTTGACGTGCGACATCGACTTAGGAGCCGCAGACGCGACAAGCTCTGCATCAGCTGGACTGAGGGGCCGCGCCGCGCGTGGAGCAAAACAAATGCGGAGAGTGCACATCGTGCGGGCATTTCTTTGTGCCCAGTTGCCTTAGCGGTCCCCCCTTTTTGCCATTTTTTTTGGGGCAGGGGGTTCCTTTTCAAGTCAACCAACCAAAGAAGGAGGATGCTTTTTTTGCCATGGAAATCCACCCGGCATCTGAGTTGATTTGTGGGATGTGCGATGATTTGTGGGATGTGCACAATGGGATCTTGCGAGGTTGCTCCGAGCCTCTACCCGACCAATCGATTCTCGGTGCCGGACGCTCACCCTGGCCAGAGACAAGGTTGCGCATGTGTTGAACCCGCCCAAGCGTGGACAGCTTCAACGGCGACCTCTATATAAATGAACTGACCTTTGGGCAAGACTTCTTTTCACGTACTTAAGCAGATGGCGTTGCGACGCAACCAATCCATGCGAACGTTCATTCGTTGGTTTTGCAAAGGAATGCCAGTTCGCGGCTTTGCACAGACTTATTGTTTGACCCATTGCTTCCCTGCAATCAGCAAACCATTTGCTGGGTTTTCCCTTGTTCCTTGCCTGCAAGATTCGTGGAGGTTGCTGGAGAGTCATCAACTCTTTGACATGAAAAGCCCTGGCTATCTTATACGTGCACAGGTGAACGGTGATTGAATTGCCCTGAATGGTCCTCAAGCGAGCCGGGGATAAGCCCAGACCCGTTGTGCTCTTGTTGTCGTTTTTGGTTTTAACTGTCTCCGATTGGAAGTCGCCTGCTACAGGGGCCCCACACTCCTGACACCTTGTGTTTGGGGTAAAAAGCGGGTAGTAATTTGGAGTCTTGGATAGGTGTTCGTGGCACTGTTGACCCCATATTAATCAACCCCAGTTTATTAATATGGGGGTGTTCCCTTCCAAAAGTGATGAGTCCCTACTAACCCCAGGGACACCCCCCTATTCATAAACTGGGGTTGATTAATATGGGGTCAACATTATTCTCATGGTCTCCCTTTGAAACAACCTCGATTCAAAAGGGTACCCTCCACAAAGGAGACACATCAGACACCCACAGAAGTCACACACGCCATCCCTTTTCTGGCCGCTGGTGGTGGTTCAAGAGGGTCAGGCAGGCCAGGCAGGAAGAGAGGCAGGAAGGGAGGCATGGGAGGCATGGGAGGCATGGGAGGCATGGGAGGCGGGCGCCGCATGCCTTCCACGGTTTCAATGCTCAAGCCAATGCACATGAGGGTTGCGATAGGGCAACATGAAGACCTCATGTTTTTGGCTCAGTTCCCTTCAGATCAGGCCTTGTTCAAGATAAAGAGCCCAGGCGACGTATGCGGAGAACCCTAGAACCCCACTCTGAGGTGCACTGGCAAGGGGAAATTACCAGAGCCACAATGAAAACCCGGGTAGATGAAGGTTTGTAAGGGCCAATCCCAGCCATTTATAGCGGATATCCGCCTTCTGAATTCTTGAAGCATGGTTCTGGGTTCACCATTTTTGTACCGATCGGTTTTGATTGTGGCTCACCAGAGGTTGACTACTGTCGTAGTCGAGTTTTGTCCGTCCCATGGAGACCAAAGAGCAGCTGCGTCAGAGGATCGGACGAAGCATACCGAAGAGAGACGATTCTAGGGGTTGATTCCCCATTCTTTGCAACCATCGTTCTTTTCAAAAACCGGCTGTTTCCCCTGGGTTTTCGATGGTTTCCTGAAAAGAAGGATCCCTGGAAAGAATGGGGAAGGCACCAGTAGAACGATCACCTTTCCAAGTGACAGGGGTGCTCCTCAAAGATACCAACCCACAAGACCGTGAAGGGGCCGAGGCATCGGTCGCTTCTTCCTATGTGCAATTCGTTTCCTTGTTTCAAGTCTTAGGCAAACACCCTACAGTTCGGTTTCCATGTGTTCTTTTCAACCGCTGGGGCCAAAATCTCTGGTCGGTCCGGCCGGCTGAGGTCGTTTTTGGGAGCATGGCGGGTCGATGACTTGTGGCCGTAGGCCGATCAAGGAGCTGAAGGAGTTGCTTCGCCGGTGGCTCAGAGATTCGGCGCGATGCGTCACGGATCGGAATAGATTCCTGTCATGGTGTCGACCCCCCGGGGTTTTTCACTTCCGGGGGGTTCAGGGGATACAAGTATGAGCCACTAGGTAAAGTTAAGGGTATGTACCAAGGTTGGTGGTTTGTGGGTAAATTTAAATGGTTCTCAGTTTTGGAGGGGCGCACATGGGCCCCCAGGCGAGTTTCCCACACCTGGAGGCGTGCACACACACACACACACACACACACACACACACACACACACACACACACACACACACACACACACACACACACACACACACACACACACACACACACACACACACACACACACACACACACACACACACACACACACACACACACACACACACACACACACACACACACACACACACACACACACACACACACACACACACACACACACACACACACACACACACACACACACACACACACACACACACACACACACACACACACACACACACACACACACACACACACACACACACACACACACACACACACACACACACACACACACACACACACACACACACACACACACACACACACACACACACACACACACACACACACACACACACACACACACACACACACACACACACACACACACACACACACACACACACACACACACACACACACACACACACACACGCATTGTTCATGTTGACTTAGGGAACAGGTAGTTTTCTTGGTTGCTCGTCATGGGTCAAGCCGGTCAAGGCTACGCTTTGCAAACGAGTGTTTGAAAGCCCGACATCGATGCTGAAGATTTTGCACACGGTTGCACTGTCCCGGATATGCTTTCAATGAGGCCAGGAAGGCTACAACCCGGACGATATCGTGGGAGTTGAGAAAGCCGCACAGCTGAACCAAGCAGGCGGTGAACTGAACCAAAGAATTGGTGAACACTTTTTGGGGCATTCGAAGGGAAGCGACCTGTCATCCAGGCGATGAAACGCGTTCGTTCCCGCGGATGGAGCGCTTGCAATACATGGTTGGTCAACCCCTTGACTTTCCAGGAATGGATTCGCGATCGATATGCTTCCATGTGCAGTAGGCACCACTGATTGGACGGACATGTCACAACAAACCCACATGAAACAAACCATTCAGGGGGCACTCGGTTTTCAACATGTTTGACGATCGGGGCTTGAGGCAAGCAGTCGTTTTCATATAAACGACGACCTTTGAATTTATCTCTTGACCGATCAGACGGTTTGGTGCAACTCAAAAACATCTGGAAGAAAAGACGACCCTGGAACAAGCGTCACCACTTTAGAGTCAAGGTGTATGGATCGGCTGCAAGTGTGGGTGCATGCCTTCATGTGGTTCCACGCCGCGCAGCGCTGCAAGGGGCGTGGTATGGCATGGCGTGGTATGGTATGGATTGGCATGGTATGGTGTCACAAGGGTTCAAGTCCCATTGAAAAGACAGGTCGACAGGTAAAACATAATAGTCATATGGCTTCCGTTCAAAAAGGCCGGCTAAGGAGCTATATACAGTATGTGCATAATTCCTGTTGCATCTGTTTTTTTCCTTTTCAAAATGTAGCGGGCCCCCACCTAAATCATGCAAATCCCACTGGCAGCGCTAGCTTCGCAGTAGCTCGGCGCTAGGTTAGGGACGTTAGTTGGCGTGGCGTGTGAGATGCGCACGCGTGGCCCTTCTGTCCGGTCGCTCTCAGGGCTCAAGGCATTCCTTGCTCGCAAGCGAAAGTGCTGCGTCTGCCACGAAAATCTGCACGTGTCTTTTGCAAAAGTGCTGCGCCTGCCATGCCTGCCCTTCCGAAAGCATTGCGCCTGTCACGAAATCTGTACCTGAACTTGCGACACGTGACCCTGCGAAAAATCTGAAAACACAGGGAGTTTTTCGCGCTAGCTCCGCGCTAGCGCCGCGCTAGCACCGCGCTAGCAGGCAGTTGCCAACTTGAACACTCGGGCACGTGCCTTGTTGGAGGCAACACCCAAGAAGCCACTTGCGTGTTTGTAGGCTGTAGTTGTAAGTCAGGTCAAGTAAATACCCGTAGTACAAACCAATTCCGTTTTGTTACTTGCTGAAGATGTGGTGAAGAACATTGGGATTTCTTGTGTGCTAAAATGTCCTATAGCAGCAGCTCTACAAGCTCGGATAGCTCATCCGACAGCAGCAAAGAAAAGGCCAGCGCTAGCGCGCCTGTCAGTTATTTGTACTTTTCTTACTGAAAAATATTGTGCCGCAATGGTTACATGGCCTGAATGATACGGGCCCCCATGGAATAGCGATTTACGCTACAAAACTGGGAGCCAACATTTTGACAACCAGCCATATGACCCCCCGTTTTAATGGTGGTTTGAACCCCAGGGCTGTGTGTGTGTGTGTGCGTGTGTGTGTGTGTGTGCGGAGTGGCAGAATACCCTGCCACCAAAACCTTTTTCCGTTGCAGCAGGGGGCAGTAGGGAGACCACAGTCCTACTGCCAACGAAGACGGCTGTGGAACCTCCGTGAAGCGGATTGGGACGCCAATCCGTGTACCTGCTGATCTGTGTTGCAAAGTCCATTTGGCCCTCTTCTTTCTCTCGCTGTGTGTGCTTCATGTTGGACCTTGTAACGCTTTCGTCACTAGAGGGAAGCCGAGTGCATCGTGAGCCGAAACTTATCTTACTCGAGACTCATCAGTTGTACTCGAGACTCATCAGTTGTACTCGAAAGATTAGCACTCTCCATTTGGAGTTTAAGTGTGTACACCCCATTCGTGGGGAATCCTCGGGTGTACCCATTGTGTGACCCCGGGCCGGCTCTGTCGGAAAATTTGACCTCAACGTGCTGATCATAGAACAGCGGAATTTCACATTTAACCAGGAACGAGGTTTCACTAAAGGGAAGACAGCGGTCAGACCATAGTGACGTCTCACCCTCCATCCTCGCCTTCGTCGTCCGCGTGTCCGTCGTCTTGCTCTTCGCCCGTTTAGGGATGGCTTCTCCTTCCTCCCGTTCCTTCTTCCGGCCTTCCGTCTTCCGCGTGTTGCTGTTCTTCTTCTTGGCCCGTTTAGGGATGGCTTCTTCTCTGCCGCGTCGTTTGCCTTTTTCGTCGTCGTCCTCTTCTTGTTTGCCTATTTGTTCGTGGTCTTCGGTCCCCTCGCGCTGTTTGGCTTGCCGTCTTCGTTCCCTACCGTTGCTTCATCGTGCTCTTCCTCATGGCCCCTCTGCGGGATTCGACGCCCTCTTCCTCGAGCATTGGCTTTGTCCTCTCGTTTCTCTGGGCGGGATGCGTCGCCTTAAATACGCACACTTTCTTTCTTTCTTTCTTTCTTTCTTTCTTTCGTTCTTTCTTTCTTTCTTTCTTTCTCTCTTTCTGTCCCTCTTTCCCTCCTTCTCCCCTTCTCTCGTTTCCTTTCCTTTTCTCCCGTTCCCTTCTTCTTCTCTCCTCCTCCTCTCTCTTCGTTTTTCCTTCTTCCCGGGCGGGATGCGGCGCCCTAAATACGCACCCTGTTTCTTTTTCCCCCCGGGCGGTTGCGACGCCCTAAATACGCTTTCTCTCTTTCTCTCTCTCTCTCTCTCTCTCTCTCTCTCTCTCTCTCTCTCTCTCTCTCTCTCTCTCTCTCTCTCTCTCTCTCTCTCTCTCTCTTTCGTTCTTTCTTTCGTTCCTTCTTTTTTCTCTCTTTCTCTCTTCCTTTCTTCGTTTCCTCCCCCCCCCCCTTTTCCAACTACTTCCTGTTCTTCCTCTTCGCCCGTCTAGGGATGGCCTGGTCCTCTTCTCGGTCTTCAACTTTGCGGTGGTGGTCGTCTTCCAGGTTTAGGAGGGTTTCTGGGCTGTTTTGGGTTTTTGCCCTCGGCGGTGACCCTAAAACTCGGGTTCCCCTGTTTTTCGTGTTTCTCGGTTGGGGTTTTGCCCGCGGAGACCCAACGTGGGGCTTTCTGTTTCTTTTGGGTGCCTGCTCCGTTTGTTTTCTGTTGGGGTCTTCGTCCGTCTTTCGGGCGCTTCTTCTCCCCCCGAAAAAGTGTTTCTCGCCCCTCATTGAGGGGCGTGTGTGTGCGGAGTGGCAGAATACCCTGCCACCAAAACCTTTTTCCGTTGCAGCAGGGGGCAGTAGGGAGACCACAGTCCTACTGCCAACGAAGACGGCTGTGGAACCTCCGTGAAGCGGATTGGGACGCCAATCCGTGTACCTGCTGATCTGTGTTGCAAAGTCCATTTGGCCCTCTTCTTTCTCTCGCTGTGTGTGCTTCATGTTGGACCTTGTAACGCTTTCGTCACTAGAGGGAAGCCGAGTGCATCGTGAGCCGAAACTTATCTTACTCGAGACTCATCAGTTGTACTCGAGACTCATCAGTTGTACTCGAAAGATTAGCACTCTCCATTTGGAGTTTAAGTGTGTGTGTGTCATGGCCAACAGAGTTAATTTGGGCATCGTCCACGATGTGATGCCATTCCGCGTACCGTGGCCAATGAGCGCAATGCAATACTGGAGCTCGAAGCTGATCACAGGCAAGGTCCCCCAGTAGTGCCCTTTTACCCTTTTTTGGGGGTCTACAGACAAAAGGTCACCCTTATTTTCACCTCTCTGCTGGAGGACCTAGCAGGGGCACACAACCGCAAACAGTGATGCAGAGTCACGCGCCCACACACACACACAGACACGCAAAGACAAGCAAAAACAAAACTATTCCCGAAAGAGCCATGGTTTGATATGTGTCTCTAGGCTGCAAGCGCCCAGAAGTTTGCTTCAAATGCTGTTTTGCATACGTGGCTCAAATCCCCAATGAATGATGTCCGGGTTCCGCATAAATCCGGAGCACACATCAAAATATATTACTCCGCCCTCCCACTTGATCAGCCACGTGTGGGCAGTTGTCTCGGTGCGTTGAGGATGAACTGGTCACCAAGCTGTGGGTTCTGCGCCGGGGCCCTCGGGGCCGGCAACAAAATGGATCTTCCAGGTACCTTTCAGCGCTGAGAAACCGCGGTGCTTTCCCGGTGGCCTAGTGCCCGTTTTAACCTCTCAAAGTGGAGTGGGTTTCGGACTTGTTTTCGTCCACGGGGTGTCCTTGCTGTACGAACGCTGCAAGTACTCCCTTGAGCTCCGGTAGTGCCGGTTCTTCCTTTTGTTCGCAGGAGCGTCCCTTCAAAATCGAAATATGGAGAACTGGATCCAGGTCAGCGTTTTTCTGTTTAGACGACTCGAACAAACTGGACAAACAGATGGGTTATCCTCTTCCCTGTTCAACTGTTTGTCCCTTTGAACGGCAAGAAACTCAAACTTGTCAATACATTTAGCCGTCAAGCGTCCGTTTGTTTCTGCGTAGAACAACTCTGCCCTCCAGGACAAGTTGCACGTTTCCTCCCAGCAAGGAAACAGTATGTTTTTAGACCAGGCGGATGCGCCGTTACCAACGCAATGCGGACCGCTTACATGTCCCCCATCCGATCCCGTCGCCCAAGGCCAGAATCCTGTGGAAGAGGACGCCAAAGCTAGCCGTTGCCCAAAACAAACTTTGCCATTCTTGCAGAGAACAATAATGAAAAACTGTTCTTGTACCCCAACGCTCTGTTGGCATACTAAAGACACCCATCAAGTTGAGCTTAGATTTTGTCATTGATGACACCGTGGGCTCGTGACGGCTACCTTATGGAAACTGAGTCACTGAGAATCTTTCCGGAAGGTAGAAATAAGACTCCTGCTGATTCTTTGGGGTTGGATAAGCTGGGTCGACTCCTTCAATACAAGGCTTGACTCGTACAACGTACCCCACTTCCATGTCGTCGATGTTGATGGCGCTCCTTGTCTATTTTTGCTGGCTCAATCTTGGCTCAATCAATGACCTTGCCCGCTAGTTTGCAAGCTTTAACCTTTGTAAAGATAGACTTCTTCATTAACTAGGTCCCCCAGTAGGGCCCTTTTACCCTTTTTTGGGGGAGGGTTCCCCTACTAAAATAGACAACAGAAAAAGGGTACCCTTATTCCAACCTCTTTATTGGAGGACGTAGTTAAACTATACAAATGAAGACTTTATCTGATCCCGTTCCGTTCGCGTTGACTGAATTCGACGTTCAGTTGTCGGATAGGATCCCTTTCCCTTGCCGCTCTACTCCAATTGCTGGCAGCAGTTCGTCCTTCGAGGCTCGGTCATCAGGCACATCTATGTTTATGTTTGTGACTGTGTTGTTGAGGTGCCTGCGTGGATGTTTTGCGTTGGGTGGTTGCGTGTTTGCATGTGCGCGTGTGCTTTGCGTGTGTGTGTGTGTGTTGTGTTTGTATGCTTGTGTGTTTTGTGTGTTGTGCATGTTTGCGCGTTTCTGTGAGTGTGTGCTTGTGTTTGTGTGCTTCTGTGTGTGTGTGCGTGTGTGCTTGTGTGCTTGTGTGCTTGTGTGCTTGTGTGTGTGTGTGCGCAGTGCGCCCGGTGTGTTGCGGCTTGTGTCTTTGATTGTAATTGTAATTGTTGTCGATGTGTTGTGTGTGTGTGTGTGCGTGTGTTTTCCGTGTGTGTGTATGTTTATGTGTGTGTGTGTGCCTGCTTGTTTGCTTGCTTGCTTGCTTGCTTGTTTGTTTGTTTGTTTGTTTGTTTGTTTGTTGTGTTTGTTTGTTTGTTTTTTTGTTTGATTGTTTCTTTGTTTGTTTGTTTTTTTTGTTTGTTTGTTTGTTTGTTTGTTTGTTGGTTTGTTGGTTTGTGCGGGTGTGTGTGTGTGGGTGTGTGTGTGTGTCTGTGTCTGTGTCTGTGTCTGTGTCTGTGTCTGTGTCTGTGTCTGTGTGTGTGTTTGTGTGTGTGTTTGTGTGTGTGTGTGTGTGCGCGCGCGCGTCTATCTTTGTGCTGTACGTGTGTAGTATGTGTGCGTGCGTGCGCGCATGCGTGCTTGCGTACGCGCGGGTGTGTGGTTGTGTATGGCAGTGTTGTCTGATTGTTGTTGTGGTTGTGGTTTGTTTTAGTGCTTATGTTTTTGAATGTGGGTGTGATTCTTCGAGCGATTTCTTATCATTGTTGCGTCTGTGTATGTGTTTGTACGTGTTGTGTGTGTGTGTGTGTTTGTTCCCGTTGGTTAAAGTTTATAATTGTTTTGTTTCGGGTTTGTGTGTGTGTCTGTGCGTGTGTGTTGTGTTTTCATTTGCAGTGCGTCGTGTGTGTGATAGTGTTTGTGTTTGTGAGGTGTGTGCGTGTGTGTGTGTGTGTGTGTGTTTGGTTGTGGTTATGGTTGTAATTGCGTTGCGTGTTCGTGTTTGTCAAGTTGTTTGCGTCTTCTTTTTTTTGTTTGTTGTTGGGTTTATGTCCCCTGCTTGACATGATCGGTGTTTTGTATGTGGTTGTGTGCGCGTTGAATCTCGGCACTCTCCATTTCACGTGGTATCGAAGGGAAACTCAAAGTCAGACTGTTTGGAGAGGTGGCATAGTTTTAAAATTGACACCGAAAGACAAACAATAGAGAGAGCAACCGAGTTGGCCTCAAATGATGAAATCATAATGGAACGCAAGGTAGATCTAATGAGGCTCAGAGGTCAGAGGTTGTCCAGACTAAGGGCCTGTTTTGATCCACCCTCAAACTCAGTGTTTAGCTGGGTGACAACCTTTGTGCAGCCGTATGCCCCGTTGCGACGGCGCTGCTCCCTGCCCCCCCCCCCCCCCGTTAAAATTTAAGTTTCTTGACGTTGCGGACAGTTTCAGAGGTCCCTTTTAGAAGACAGTCCTAAGGGCAAGGGATTTTTATGGGCGGGTATCTCCCCCCCTTTCTTATGGAAATGTCTCAAAGTGGTGGACCCCGTTTTGGTGAGCATTTCGAGGAAAGCGCAAACGGACTGTTTAGGGGATCCCTATCTTGAGAAACCCTCATCTCCCCTATGCACCAGCTTTGCTGCTGCTGGGGGTGCAGTGGTTCCTCCTGTCCTTCTTCGTGGCCGGAAGCTTAGCTATTCATACCTCGGAGTTGCTATGTACAACAAACATGGAACTCAACAGGATCTTCCGTTTCTGGGACCTGGCAGGTTCCAGTTCAACCAGCCCCACAAGGTTTCGAGTCTTGGCATGATGTTGACCTAATGCATACCCCGGATGAATAACCCCCCCCCCCCCTCCCCCCCCCCTCAAGGTCACAAGGTCAGGTCTGTCATTTTTTGAGGGCCCCCCCCCTCAATTGTGGGAAGGGGAACCTTGTGGGAAGGTCAGGTCAGAGAACCTTGTGGGAAGGTCAGGTGAGGGAACCTTGTGGGAAGGTCAGGTGAGGGAACCTTGTGGGAAGGTCAGGACCTTGTGGGAAGTGCTGGCTTTACTAATGGGGGGGTGCAAAAGCAACCATGGTAGATTAATAGGGGGGTGCTGGCTTTACCAATGGGGGGGTGCTGCTGTTGCAAGTACAAAAGGAGCTGGTGTGCAAAAGCAGGGCATCAAACATGGTAGATTAATAGGGGGGTGCTGGCTTTACTAATGGGGGGGTGCAAAAGCAGGGCATCGACCATGGTAGATTAATAGGGGGGTGCTGGCTTTACTAATGGGGGGGTGCTGCTGTTGCAAGTAAAAAAGGAGCTGGTGTGCAAAAGCAGGGCATCAAACATGGTAGATTAATAGGGGGTGCTGGCTTTACTACTGGGGGGGTGCAAAAGCAGGGCATCAAACATGGTAGATTAATAGGGGGGTGCTGGCTTTACTAATGGGGGGGTGCTGCTGTTGCATGTGCAAAAGTTGGGCAAGTTAAAATTAGATTAAAAACGCATGATGTAGCGGGGGGTTTGGGGGAAGGGAGCTTTAATAGGGGGGGGGGGGTTCGGGGAAAACAAATGTTATTGCGGGGGTGCCAGGGCAGATTTCTGGGTTTCAATTGAAACGAGTATTGCCGAGGGATTAGTCAAGGAAAACCAGGCGCTTTAATAGGGGGGGGGGTTATTAATCCTGGGTCAGCATTACAACCAATTATATATTTTTTTATTAATAGTCAACGGCCCAACCTGGTTTCGTTTGCTTTACCTTCCTCTGTTTTTCCCAGTTTCCGGCGACCAGTCACATTCGACATGTGGCAAGTAGGGAACATATGTGAATTGCCGCCTTGGTGACACCCGGCTTCGCGTTTCAAATGTGGAACCAAGGGGATTTGGCGCAAACCCTGTTTCGAGGCTGCACACATCAATCTGCTGATACAGCTCGCTGTCACAGCGCTGCTTGGTGTTCGCAACTGGTTGGCCCGGGGCCCGGCCATTTTTTTTCCTCCGTGGGACTCCAGAAGGAACACCGTTTTTGTTTGTTTGATGGGGAGTCCTCTTGACACACACCCATTGCGCATTGTAGGCCTATTTGGACACACCCACCCATATTGGAGCCCGCAACATGGTTCGCACACATCTGGTTCCGCCCCCCCCCAAAAAAAGAAACCGAAACAAACGCTCCCAACAGGGTAGCCTCACAAAAGATAGCCTTCCTCCCACTAGCATTGTGGGAAGGCACCTGGAAGATCAACTTCCTATTGAAGGATATTGAAGGGACCCCCCCCTCAGGTGCTATGTTCGTAGGGAGGGCACCGCCCGTCCCACCAATTCTCATGGCTGGGCGCAGCTTCGGCAATCTCTGGCAGAAGTAAATAGAGGTCAGGTTATTTTATTTGAGGGCAGTCTCGTCGTGAACAAGACAATGACAAGCTGAGCCTTTGATTTCTCTTCACCAGCCCAAAGAAGTTGTGTTGGGCCCTCCTGAATCCATGAACTTCAAACTTTTTGGGTTTGGACCATAGTGACAAATACAAAAAGTTTGGACTGTTGGCCCATCAACTGAGGCAGTGAGGCAGTGAGACAACCCCATTGGAGGATGACTCCTTGACTCCTCGCTGGGAAAGCTGCATGGATGGGCAAGTGACCAAGTCCTTGGCAGGACTCGAAGAGGCAGGGCGGACACTTCGCAGAATGAATTTGCCCACAGCACCAAAGGGAATCCCCCTAGAGGCGACTTGTTCGCCGGACGGGACATGTTCCTTGGCATGACCGCCTTTTCTGGGTTCCATTGGTCCAACGTGGGGAGGGTAGCTCAGGCAGGTGGCAGCAAGTTGCAACGCCAAAGCGCTAAGGTCCGTGAAGAGAAGATCATCCGCAGACGGAAGCGTTGTTGATTGCGCAAAAAGAGGTGTGATTCAGGAGAGACACTGGGACCCCCAACCCCCCCAAACAGTCTCACAGTTTTGTTCTAAGAGCAACCTCTTCTTGTTGGGGGTAGGGGGCCTGTAGCTACTGGTGGCTGTGTATTTCTCTTTTTGGAGCCCTCCGAGTTGATGTTCTTTTGCCCCCCCTGTATTTGTGACTTCTTTCAGCCCCCCCCCAAACAAATAAGCTCAGGTGATATCCCCAACAGCATGCGGTGCTCTTTTTAGAGCTCGCACCACCCCGGAGCCCTCGTGGAACCCTCGTGGAACCCTGGTGGAACTCTGTTGGAACCCTCGTGGAACCTTACCTTAGGGCCGCCCCGGACCACCCCGGAGCCTATCTGGGCTGAGACCCCAAAGCTTTCAGCTGTTGGGGAAAAAAAGCATACGCAGATTTCCTCCAAGCCAGCCCCAGGCCCCAAACATGAAGAGCAAAAGCAATGAAGCAGCAGCCATGTTGCTTGCCCTGCCTTCGATGTGAGTTAAGGCTCGGATTGCCAAAATCCCAAGCCTTTCAAAGGATTTTGACTTGTGTTACATATCAAATCATGTTACATTTCAAGCGATACAATGCTCCCACTTTGGATTTGATGTACACGAGAATATGACCAGGTCACAGCACATGAGGTGCCCACCCCCCCCAAATTCCCCTCACCGGTGCTGGTTCCCAAGTCAATACGAGCCGCCTGGCTGAACTAAGTCACATAGCTCAAATCCAAACGCAGAAGTCATAAATCACATGAAAAGTCATAAAGCTCAAAAGGAGGGTCCAGCCATATTAAATCACATGGAAAGTCAAATCCGACAAAAATCAAAAAAGAAGCTCAAGTCAACCTCTAAGGAAACTTCAGACACACTAAATGATCTGCCAGTACGCACATAGTCTTTCCGCACTATGTAGAAGACAAGCTGGCTGTTGTGCTCAGTTTTGACCTTGTCCACCCTGGCAGGGGAGGTCATAATCCGAGGCTAACATCACCGACTCAAAGTCAGTCAACGAAGAGTCCATTTCCAAGACTGGCTGGCTCAATAGCACGGGGACGCCGCGGCGAATGGAGAAGACTCAAGCAGCAAGGGAGGCCATTTCGGCTCATGAACTACCATGTGATCTCAGACCTCCCTTTGACTGATTCGAAGAAGCATGGCATTTCCTTGTGTGGATAGCTTCAAAGGAAAGCCCGAAACTTGTTGATCAGTGGCACCCTTTTGTCCTTTTTTTTTTTTTTGGAAGGGTTCCCCTTTACACTCAACCAACCAAAAAAGGATGCCCCTTTTTGCCCATGAAATTCCACTGGGCATCTCAGAGAAGGAAAGCCAAAGGATGTGGGCTTTGTTGGGTGTCCCCTGTTTTCATTTTTTTCTGCGCCAAAGTGCAACTTTCAGATTCTTTGCCGATGGCAACGAGCATCGTAGATGTCTTGGCCCAATGGCTGGAGTCCAACGGGATCTCGGAGGAGTTGGATGCGTATATCAGGCGCGTCATGCGGTAGTGTTTTTGTTTCCCCTTTTTCTTTTTTATTTGTGATCCGAACAACATGCCCCGAAATAGCCTGGGCTTTCCTGGTGCAATACCAAGGGTTGTGAGTTTCCCTCGTCATTCATGGAAATCTATAATACGCGAACTCCGGGGTAGCCCGCTTCTTTTCCACATGAGTGAGCTTTTAAAATATCTCGATATGGCACGTGTCTTGCAGGCGGTCATTGATTGAATAGTCCTTTTGAACATGCAAGCCTTGCACCCAAGTGAACTGATTGCACATCGTCTCAGTTCTGAAGTCCCACTCCCCCATTGTCGATGATGGATCCGGCAGGAGTAGTGTGCTTCACTTCATTTATTTTTCTGAACCTGTTTGACAGGTTCCAATCCGATCTGACCCAGTTCAGCTGGTGGGACTCCAAATCTCGGTTTGTTTCTGGGTTTCCCTTCGGAACTGGGATCGTTGTGCGTCTTGTGGTTGGTTTTCAGGGAAGCCAAAAGGAGCACAGCAAGTTGGGCTCCCCCATTTGAGACAAACCCGAATCAGCGTCCAAAATCAAAAGGGCTTCGCTTTTGCCGAGCCACTGGGTCAGCCACAAGTCGGCGGCAGGCAGCATGCGGCGTGCTTCGACAGCGACGACGAGCGCCCTGTTTCGCATGTGTCGCCAGCCAACAGGCGGCGTGTTTATGCAAGGCCCCCCTGATTCGTTTTATGCTGGTCCATATCCATTTGATCTTAGTTTCAGGTATGTCAAAGCCAGAGTTAGTTGCGAAACTTGTTTCAACCAACCGGTCCGCTTCAGAGGGAGACCAAAAGGAGGCTGTTTCAATCAATCAATGTTTAAACGCATTTAAACGAGTTCATCCCTGATTGCCAAGTACTCCTTTGGTTTTGCTTGATGTGCGCCATGTTGAACCCCAGCTTATTAGAGTTTGTTTTGCCTCTTGCCTCTCTGGTGGCCCCTCCTCCATTGGACATCTCAAACCCCCCTTTTGTTTGGTGGCTTCCTCGTTCAAAAGTTGGCGACCCCCAACAAAAAGGCTCCTTGAGGTGAACCTTAAAGTGAACCCTGAAACCGGGCTTCGGTCAACCCCCAAAGCAAAAACCCTTTAGGTCAACCCTCACGCGTTTGCGGACGCGGGCGCTGAGGCAACGCCACGGTTGCTTCGAGATCTTCAGAGCCTACGAAGCCCTGCTGCATCAGCTCCTCTCAGACTTCCTGCAGGCCCAAACCCCCCCCCCCCCCCGGCCAATGCCACTGCCAGTGCCTGGCAGCGGTGCGTCTACTTTTTTGAGAAGTTTCAAGGTAGACCTAAGCTTTAACCCATTCGCTCCGAACTCGAGCTGCTCAAAAACCCTGGTAGCTGGTGAACCAGGCGGGGTGATTGACCAATTGGTCGACAGCACCCCGCAAACCACGATCAAACAGCGGCACATGGTTTACATAGCCTTTCTGTGGTCACGATGAAGGTGTCTATACCTCATTCTTTGTTAGGTAGTTCGGAAGCGGTCACCTTGAGTTGAGCAGGTTGGCGTTGCAGATGTGTCCCATACCGCAAGAGGGGAGGAAGGTTGTGCCCTGTGTGTGTGTGTGTAAGTGCGACATGAAGCTTGCACTGACTTCAAAATTTGGCGGTTCCCAGCTATGCAGATTTGTGGATTATTCGTGCTTAAAGGGATTTAGAGCTCACTAAAAGTAGCTTTTAGCCAGGGATCAACTAACCACCAAGAATTGAGCCACACTCACACCCCGAGCAATTCCAGCCACACGTGCAGGAAGATCCCTTTGAATAGGGTTCTTGGTTTTGGGTGGACTCCTTTGATACTCCCCAAGTTGGGACCGGGAAGCGTCGAATTGATGGGTGGGGGACGTTGGGTTTTGCTACTAGAAGCAACTGGTTGTGGCTCAAAAAATGGTAAATGGAACCAAAGACTAAAACCGCGTAAACCCTAGCTGTTGAATTTTGAGCCACAGCCAACTGACGATCTTGGGTTGTGTGATGTTCCTTTGGAGCAGTTCAGCTGACCGGACCCATTTTGCACCCTGAAATGACAGATGCTAAGAGGATTCCACCCTGAAGGTACCTTTGCATGGTGGCTCTTGTCAACTAAGCATGAGCCTCCCCCTCCCAGCAAAAAGACTAGGTTTTTTCAGTAGTGCCCTTTTACCCTTTTTTGGGGGAGGGTTCCCCTACAAAAATAGACTACAGAAAAAAAGGGTACCCTTATTCTAACCTCTCTACTGTAGGATGTAGAGTGCCAACTTCTTCTTTTTTGGGGGGGCGAATGCATTTTTCAGGAGATCCGGCGGGATGCTCACTTGGCCGCTCTGGGTGGCCAGGCGCCCCAGTGGCCAGAGCCCTCTGTTCTCTTCTCTTCTCTTCTCTTCTCCCGCTCTCAACCATTGGGTTTTCTACGGGTAGCTTCCATTTCCATTCTTTTCAGGGATTCTTCTTTCTAGAAAACCACCCAAAACTTTGGGGAAATGGATCTTGGTTCTTGAAAAGAACGATGGTTGAAAAGAATGGGGAATCAACCCCTGGAGTTTTGGTTTGCTAGCCCCAATTCGCTCTAAGACTCATTTCAATCAGAGCCGGGCTGGAAATGCAGCATTTTGCTTGCGACTACAAGTGAGAAACGAAATGGGATGTTTTATTATTTGTGATAGCTCTCAACGTTGATCCCCAATTCCTATTACCCATCGTTCTTTTGGGAAACCACTTGATTTATGCGGGGTTTGGCTATTCTGCGAAAAGAAGGATCCGGAACGGGGAAAGTACGGCTGCCATGGTTTCAAGCGCAAGGCAGGCATGAATACCCTAATGGATTTCAGTTGTTCTCTCTTTTATGGCTGGATGTTCAGCCAATTTCGAGCCACCAGATCCCGAATGACCGCAAGAAACCAACAACACCCCAGCAACTTTCTCAACGGAAGTGTGAAGCTTTCGGGTCACTTGGGCCAACATGACCCCCAAACTCCTCAGTTTGCATGCATAGAAACTGGCTCAGGGTTTACCCGTCGAACTCCAAACTCCATCGAAACCCTTCGTTTATCCGAGGTGTTGACCCCAAGCTCCAGTCAAACCCATCGACGTCCAAGGCTTTCTCCGGCTCCGAGGTAGCTGCGCCTCGCCTGAGCAGCTGCTGACGGCCCTGCGCGCGGAGAACCTGGCCGGGCCGCGCCTGCGCGCTGGCCAGCTGGGCCTGCTAAGCATCGCCAGCTACGAGGCGTTGGCGCGCCAACGCATGGGGGTCCCAGGTGGTGGGTAGCTAGTGGTTGTGCCACAAGAACAACACAACGACACAAGCGTTGATGACGACGACGACGACCAACAACGACAGCAGAAGCAAAGCAGCAGCAACAACAGCAGCAACAGCAGCAGCAAGGGTTGGTTTGTGAATTTTCCTTTGGTCTGATGTCAGAAGGGTTTCTGGAAACAAGATGGAACTTTCTGTGTTTCAATCACGAAACAACACGACGCAAAAGGCATCGGCCCCTTTGGGAACCCAAGTTTCACCGGGATCCGCCAGGACTTTGCGGCGGCGGCGCGGAGGCACCGGGCAATCGCGCAGGTGCAGGCGGGAGAACGTCTGGCGAGAGTCAAATGGCCGTGGTTGTCAAAACCGTTTTGGGATCCCATGTTGGTTGGTAGGTGAATTCACCACCCATTTAGGCTTCCTATTTTAAGTGGTGGGATTGGGATGTTCACGGGGGTACGATTTGGATTTTGACCCATGGCCAAATGCCCAGACGAAAGAAGTGCTGGCTTCGCAGCTGGCGACCTACGGGGAGCGCAGTAGGGGGGGGGGGGGTGGGGGGTTAAGTGGGGAGGTTGGGTGGGAGGGTTGGGGGGGGTGTCCTCATTTTGGGACCCTAGCCAGAGGAACACATATAAATAACTTCCTTACCAAAGGGGAAGCAACCCTGATTCGGACGGTCCCGGTAAAACGAGCTCACCATGATGTGGGTCCTTTACTTGGGGGATCCCTAACTTGAGGTGTTGGAATTGTGCTAGGATTTGCGCTGTAGAACTTGCATATTGTTTCCCTCGTACCTAGAGAGAGAGAATGTATGGGAAAAGGTTGTTTGTTGGGGCGTAATCCAGAGAACTTGATTCCAACCATTCTCAACCATCATGCTTGTTTAAACCAAAAAAACATGTGGCGTTTCTGGAAAGAAGGAACTCTCAACCTAAGGCGGGTTACGGGAATCAAGTTGGAATTGTTTGGGCAACTTATCATGAGCTCACCGATCAGGGGTAAATCGAGCGAAAACCCTGTGCCTCAGCAGTTCCCCCGCGCCAGGTTTGTGAATCAAGTCATTTGCTCCACAGGCTGGATTGTTGAACCACACTCCTGCCAGCGACTCACTTCCCATGGAAATGAGTTCTATTTGGTTTTGTCCTACCTGGGTCTCTTCGCCAACATTGAGCAGGGTGATCCGTGTGAGGGGAACGAACCTCGCGTGGAGTTCTGGCATTTGAGATTCCGATGGTACTTGCATCATGGAAGTGAAAGTTAGGCACAAATAGAAGCCATCGGCGGCGCCTCAAGCATGAAATCCGCGAAAGAGCTCCTTTTACGAGCAGAGCAAGTTTTTGCTTTTTGCATGGGGTCCAAGTCTAACCAAGAAAAGAAGTGTCGGTTTTTCAATGACTGCCAGAAGAAACATCAACTCTTCAGTTGCATCCCAATCGGTGGTTGGGATGGATGCTTTGGGGACTACTGCTTATTCTTGACGGATGGAAAGGAAGCCAGCGCCAATCCAAACCACACCAAACCGCCCATCCCAATCAAAGCAAGCCACTGCCAAATCCAAGTCTCCAAGCCGAACCGCCAAAGAACCCGCCTATCCAACCGAACCCAATTGGCCGTGGGTCAACACCAATGGTACCATTTTGGGGTAGGTGCACCACTCATTTTAGAACCTATTTTACTGGTTGGAACCTATTTTAGTGGTTGGATTGGGATGTTCACTGGTGGTACGATTTAGGTTTTGACCCACAGCCGCATCCAGCCATGCCTCCAAGGCTTGCACATCAGCTTGGGGCCATCAAGGTCGTCCATCACCGGTACATTCAGCTTCTGGTAGATCCTCTTACGTCCTCTTAGCAAAAGACGACAGCCACTTCTCAGCTGAACCTCGCGGGGCTTTGCTTTTAGGCCGACCAGCTCTTGCAGCAGCTGGCAGTGCAGGTCGCTGCAGGTGCGGAGCTCAAGAAGTCTTGAAGCCAGAAACCTGTGGAAATTTTTCGGGGGGGGGGGGTTAGGCTTTCATTTTGCTGAAGAACTATGTCTTGATTTTCCCTTGTTGGTTTTAAGCGGAATCTATTGCTGGACATGAATCTATTTGGTTCCAGCGGGCTTAAGCTCATGGAAGCAGGGCCACTATTTGTGGTACCCTTAAGGGAATCTCCTTGAAAGTGACAAAGTCGTCATGGGAAGCGGAAGCCCACGTTGGTATCACAGCTTTCGTGCGATTTTCCACAGCCATGTCCAGGAACCCCTCAGCACATCGCCGTTCTCGGTGCTTGTCAGCAGCCTTCGACGACTGTTGTCTGCCAGAGGACTTAGGCAAACTGAGGGTTCGGAACTGAGGTGTTTCGAGATCTTTGCCTGATGCAAGGCTAGAAGCTCACGAGCAACTCGGCCGAATGGGCAGAGATATGGGACCCAAGGACCACCGCACGACTGATCAAAACCCCAAATGGTTACAGCGCATTCCAACACATCGGCTTTGTGAATTCCAAAGTCATCCTAGGATGTCAGAGGCCTTCATTGCGTTCATCCGGGTTTGAGGGAGGTTGGGCAACAGCTTGAGATCAGGGCTTCCGTTTGCGGGTTTCCGCCTCGAGACCCAAAGACGGGTGGCTCCAGCTGGGCTTGAGTCTTCAGCCCCGGAGGCCGCTTGCAGCCTTTGCACCGCCGAAGCGAGAGGTTGGGATCGGAGCTTGCCCGTTTTTTTTTTTTTTTGTGTCCGAATCGCTGTTGCGAGCAACAAGCTAATATGGCTATGAGTCAAAACCCGAATCGTGCCCCCAGCGAAGATCCCAATCCCCACTGAGGTAGACTAAAATGGGTGGTCCCACAATGGTACCATTGGTGTTGACACGGCCATATCCCAGGTTGGCTTCGAAGGGACCTTCTCACTATTGGGTTGGATCTTTAGACTTCAACTTTTTTGGAAATCAAGGGGTTTCCCTTAAACCCACAAAAAGTTAAACTTCTTGCAGGGGGGCAACAGCAAGCAAGCACAGGGAAGACAGGGTTTGCACTGTGATGTTTCTGTTTCGATCAAGTCGCATTCGTGTGTGGAAGACACAAACAAGCTCATCGTCTGGGTGAAACAAGCAAAATTTTCTGAAGGTCCTTAGGGGCATCCTGGAAATTCCGTGGTTCTTGTAGGGCAACTATGACAATCCTCTTCTCCCAAAGAATAGAAGTCCGCTGGTTTGAGGCTGAGGCAATCTGTAGCATCAGTTTTCTTTTCTTGGCTCCTGGCTTCGAATTGGAGGTTCAGCCCGCTAAATCCCAGTTCGCCTGTTTTCCAGGGTTAGTACTCATTAACGAAATTCCAAGGTGAGCATCCAGGTAGAGCCATCACAAGGGGGCCCCATTTTGGGAAGCTCCCATGTCTTAGGCAGAGTCTGGAAACGCCACGCCAAATAACGTGAATCGGGTTCTAGAGGTTGATCCCCAATTTTGTGTTCACCCATCGCTTTTTGGAAACCACGAGCACTCCCGGGGGTGGGCCACGTGAAAAAAGCATCGCTGCAAGGAAAGGGAGGAGTACAAGCAGCATGCTTGGCAACCGGGTAATAGGGGCATATTAGAACGGGCTTGTGGTGTTAGGCAAAATTGCTATGTGCGGGTTGATAAATATGTTTGGACCCCAAATGACCACGGGTAACTTTCCAATTTTGTGGGAAAGTCAAGTCTTTGGTGCTTTTCCATGGTCATTCCGTGCAAACGAGCTTTTGATCAACCATGTAATTGTGCATTTGCTTAAGACTATGTTTAATTTGCCCTGTTGGTTTTCAAGGGAATCTACACTACTGGAGTTTTTCAGGGGACTTAAGCAAACAGAGGTGATTATTTAGCCTTATACAAAAGGGCGTGTCTGGTTAAGAGTTGGACCAGTCCATCAGCGGAGGGAATATCGCGGAAGAAAAACTCATGCGGCATTGGGATGAGCCCCCCGCACCAATTTTCTCATATATCCTTTGTTGGCATGTTTTTTGGGAGTACTTTACATTTTAAGGTGTACTAAATAAGGACCAGAATCAAGCATAAGTTTCTGTGTTGGGGGGCAACAGCCGAGGCAGTTTAGAAAGCCCATGGCCCACGGACATGTTCATTGGGGGTGGGGGGGGCATAGCCACACAGCCACGCACGAAACTTTGAGATAACCTCAAAACAGTAATCCAAGAAAAAGGTGCGGTGCCCGAGAAAGGTTTTGGGATTCCTTTAGAGCCATCTGAATATGCACCGGAAACACCGCCTTCAACTGCAAAACTTCATAGTCTTGTCGGGTTTGGCAGATGAGTACCAGTGGATTCCATTGTTTTTTTGTTCAACACCCATGCTGAACCCCTAAGCCTCTCTCTTTCCACGGCAGGCGCTTCATACGACGGCGGATTCGCGCGCGGTTCCGCCAAAAAGCGGGGAACACCAGGGTGCTTGTACTGGGCCCCAAGTGAAGATCGTGAAGGGAATGGTAGGCAAACCACCTCAAAGTAGTTTAACAGAACTCTTCAAGACTTGGGGGGTTCTTAAAATTACATTGGGGTGGTTTGCCTACCCCTTTCTCAGGGTAACGTTTGAAGATGTTATGATGGACTCCAGAATCGAAGCCCTTGGACCCACTTGACTCTTGCGATTCGAACCTTTCAAAGGACTGGCCATTGTAGCGTAAATGCATGGGACAACGTTGGTGATTTGTTGCTGGATGAGAACATGTCGCATGCTGAACACCCTGCCTGACGCTAAGAACTTTGGCTGGAGACCTACTTTGCTCAACTCATGCCGAGTCATGTGGCCATGGTTCAAAACCAATGGGACCATTTTCGGATAGGTGCACCACCCATTTTAGAACCTATTTTCGTAGGGATTGGGATGTTCACTGGGGTACGATTTGGGTTTTGACCCATGGCCATGTGTTTCTCGTCCCGTGCCACTGTGCCGGCCTTGCCAAACCCTCCACTGCCGTGTGCTTTTGCTGCGCGCGGTCAAAGATTCCAGCGCGTAGTCTATGATCAGTGTGGTCCGTGCACGGGGGACTCGAAATCTCCCTTCAAAAACGGGTGGACTCTAAGTTTTGGTGGTTCCCAGCCATCCCCTTAGCCTTTCAGCTTTTCAGGGTTTAGAGAGGGTTCCCATTTAACCCACTAAAAGTTAAACTTTTAGCTGGTGATCTGAGGACAGCCCAGTTTACCCATGTGCATAGCTTCCATTTGTTTTATTGTTTTTTTTTTTTTTTGTAATCTGTTGTATTAAAGGGAATCTATCACTACGTGATTTTACTTATTTTTCCAGGGGTCTTAACCAAATGGAAGATAGAGGGTGTAATAAACTGCCATGGCCCTTTGCTCACTGCCCTTCAAGCCGGATGTGCCAGCCCCAAAGTTGCGCTGGTTGGAGAACTGGCGTACGATCCGTACGGTGGATGCGTAAATGTTGCAAGGAAGGAAACAAAGAAACCCGTAATTTGAGCATCCAACCAAACACAACATGGGTGAAACCCAGTTGGTGGAAGTATTGGAGAAACCCTTTGATTTACCGTAATTCACAAAAGCTTGCGTGATTGACTGTGGTGGTTTGGGCATCCGTACCTCAATGCCCAAACGGGGTCCCTCGAAGCAGTTGAATTTTGAGCGGTGCTCAAAATTACTTTCGGGCGGCAGCTTCAGGCTTCCCAAAAACAAAATGTTTAGGGGGGCATTCTAACGATGTCACTTTCATGGACCCAGCCAAATGTTTTGGCTTGATGCTCACACTGCAGCCGAAACCATTTGGTTTGGTTTGGTTTGCCACTCAAGTAAGACATTGGCCCTGCCGCTATGGTTCCTGCACCAATACCCCCCGCACTCCCGTCTTGCTTTGGGGGTTTGGGCCTAGTTTGGGGGCCCCATGTCTTTCAGGACCCGTAGGGTCAGCCTTTGCATTTTCAGTCGACGGTTTCGCGGCTCAAGCAGAGTTACGGCCTTGGAGACGCTTGAGCGAAGTGCAGAGTCTGAACTCTTCAGAATCCTAACTGGAGAGGTGTTTGTCGCATGTTGCTCCAAGCTCATGATGCCGTTCCAAAACATTGCTTGTGAAATCCAAGCTGGGAAAGTTGATTTTCCGCTTTGATTTAGGGCACATGCGCTTATCATGCCAAATCCCATGGATCTGCAGGACCGCCTTGAAAAGGGTTCTACATTCTTCAGGCGATCCCTGCATGTTCTACAGTGGGCGTCAAGTGGATTGAAACCTTGACATGTTTCATGTCGTTTGCTTCCACTCATCGCAGCTGTACGTTGGTTTGAGCGATATTGGTATTGGTATTGATGCTTGATAGGGACCCTTGGGCGGACATCGAGTCTCACACGCACTTTCCACTATCCTTGACCTATGCATTTGGATTGTGTTAAAGGGAAGCCATCCTTGACCCTTGGGGTGGGGGACCCACCAACTGTTGCTACGGGGAACCCCAACCGTTAGACGCGCATCCTAAGCGTTGCGTCTGCAATTGTGACTCTAATCGCTCCGCTAGTTATGGTAGATGCCCTGAACACAGACCACAATTCCTCCAAACATGGGTGGCGTGTAAACGATACCTGGATCCTCCAAGGTGTGTTTTTTTTTTGTGCTCTTTCAAGAAAAAGTGCTTTTTGGCTGAAAAAGCGCTTTTGCTTGATGCGGGCGTTTCCCAGTGATGCATGCTTTTCTTGCTTGGGCTTGTGCTGAAAAAGCGCTTTTCCTCGGTCAAAAAGCGCTTTCACTCGGCCAAAACGCGCTTTTTCTGACAGGCTTCGCGGCAATCTTGAAAAAGAGCAGTTGTTGGGTCAAAAAGCGCTTTTTGAAAGAAACAGCGGAAATTATTGCTTTTTCGCCAAACGGCGGACATTTTGCACACCCGGAGTGCCCAGGTATATATATATATATTATATATACAAATACATATATATATATATATACATAAACACATATATACATACATATATATATATATATTCACATTGTGGACA